GAAACCAGACATCGCCACCGGCTGGGTCAGCAGTGTGCTCAGATGCCAGCAAAGGCAATCGCTCTGGCGGCTTTCTTTGCAGAGAGCGCGTCCCTGTTAATCCTATTTGGGGTGTGGAGGCTGAGAGGGACTCCTTTTCTTACACCACCGAGGCATGCAGGCTCTCGAGAGGTACCCCAAGGTCCTTTTGCCTGCCCACAGCTTTGGAGGCGAGAGGGCACTCGGGGACAAAGAGAGGCTTAAACATGGCGGGGCTTTGGAGCTTAGAGAAACAAGGAGGACTTGAAGGCATGTAAAACCAAGAGAGCCGTGTGGTGAGAAGGACTTGGGGGAAAAGATCCTCTCTCTCTCTCCGAGCCTAAAATCCTCAGTCACCCACTGAACCAGTTTTAATCGGCAAAGAAGACCTTCTTCGTATGTGGCGGCAGAGTTCTTTACTTTGGTGACCGTGTGGGTATCAATGGCTTTTCAAATCAGGGGGGGGGGGCGTTGCCACTGCTTTCTAGACACAAGCAGGGCTTTTTTTCTGGGGGAACGCACCATAACGGAGTTCTGGAACCTCTTTGACAAAATTCTTTTGAAAATGTTTAAAAGGTGAAATATACTGGGTTCGAGATGCGTATAGTGATCAGCTCATAGTTTATTAGTGATTTCAGCTTAACTCTAAGACGACTCTAGCAGGACCAGAGCCCTGCTTATATGCATGCAAAACACCCCACCCCCCACACACCCAGTTCCCATGATAGGCTATTTACAAAACATTACTACTTGATTGGTTTATTCCAGAGTCCTGGTTGGCTATTGTTCTTGTGCTCCAAACTCAGCCAGTCTTTAGGGTGATTCAATCAAGGATGATTCAATCCCAATACATAAGAACGTAAGAGAAGCCAGTGCTGGATCAGCCCAATGGCCCACCCAGTCCAACACTCTGAATCACACAGTGGCCAGAAATACCAGGTGCCATCAGGAGGTCCATCAGTGGGGCCAGGACAAGAATAAAGAGCATCACTTGCCCCAGACCGAGAGTTCCTATCTATACCTTGTGGCTAAGAGCCACTGATGGACCTCTGCTCCATATGTTTATCCATTTCCCTCTTATAAGAACATAAGAGACGCCAATGTTGGATCAGGCCAAAGGCCCCTCCAGTCCAACACTCTGTGTCACACAGTGGCCAAAAAGACCAGGTGCCATCAGGAGGTCCACCAGTGGGGCCAGGACCAGTGTTCCCTCTAAGCTGAGTTAGTGTGAGCTAGCTCACAGTTTTTTAGCCTCCGGCTCACACCTTTTTTTTTTAAGCTCAGGAAGGATGGCTCCAAAGCAAACTAATTTATGCAGTAGCCAAATCGCTCGCTCACAACCGTAATGCCAGTAGCTCACAAAGTAGAATTTTTGCTCGCAAGACTCCACAGCTTAGAGGGAGCATTGGCCAGGAAACTAGAAGCCCTCCCACTGTTGCCCCCCCCCCAAGCACCAAGAAGAAAGAGCATCACCTGCCCCAGACCGAGAGTTCCTATCTATACCTGGTGGCTAAGAGCCACTGATGGACCTCTGCTCCATATGCTTATCCAGTTCCCTCTTGAAGCTCTGCATGTTTGTAGCCGCCGCCACCTCCACATACCAAAAGGTCATGAGTTTTCAGTCTACAGATTGAAAACTTTATTTTCCTCTTGAGGGTTCTGGCACCTCTTCTTCTTCAGAAGACGGGGAAAAAAGCCCTGAATAAAAGTGAAAGCCACAGAGGACCACGCCCACATCACTGCCTCCTCCTGAATCAGACCCCGGGTCCATCAGAGTCAGCCTTGTCCACTCAGTCGGGCAGTGGCTCTCCTGGGTCTCAGGCGGAGGTCTTTCACTTCACCCACAGCCTGGTCCTTTTAACTGGAGATGCCGCCGGGGATTGTAACCGTGACAAGAAGATGTTCTGTCACTGAGCCATGGCCCTCCCCCTGCCAGTTTCCCCCAACAGTGGGTGGACATCCCCGGGGCAAAGGCCTGGCACGGGGGTCCCACAAGGGTGACCCAACAGAGCAATCTCCTTCCTCTCTCCTCTACTGCCCAGGAATAGAAGAGGAGCATATCTGGACTCTGTGAATGAAACCGGTCCATCTAGTGTGCTTCTTCGGAAGCATCCTAGGATGCAGTCTGCCCCCCATCTCTCCTGCCTCTCCTCCTCCAAGGTTTATAAGATTATGCACGGGATAGAGCAGGTAGAGAAAGAAATACTTTCCTCCCTTTCCTACAATACAGGAACATAAGAACATAAGAGACGCCAATGTTGGATCAGGCCAAAGGCCCATCCAGTCCAACCAGTCCACCAGTGGGGACCCCTCCAGGCACCAAGAAGACAGAGCATCACTTGCCCCAGAGCACACATTGATGGGGTCTGAACTGGCAGAGACTGATCAAGAGAGAGATCTTGGAGTCATAGTAGATAACTCACTGAAAATGTCCAGACAGTGTGTGACTGCAATAAAGAAGGCCAATGCTATGCTGGGGATTATTAGGAAGGGTATTGTAAACAGATCAGCCAATATCATAATGCCCCTATATAAATCAATGGTGAGACCTCATTTGGAATACTGTGTGCAGTTCTGGGCACCACACCTTAAAAAGGATATTATAGCTCTGGGAAAAGTGCAGAAAAGGGCAACTCGAATGATAAAAGGGTTGGAACACTTTCCCTATGAGGAAAGGTTAAGGCGCTTAGGGCTCTTTAGCCTGGAGAAACGACGACTGAGGGGTGACATGATTGATGTTTATAAGATTATGCATGGGAAAGAGCAGGTAGAGAAAGAGGTACTTGTCTCCCTTTCTCACAATACAAGAACTCGTGGGCACTCCATGAAATTGCTGAGCGGTCGGGTTAGAACGAATAAAAGGAAGTCCTTCTTCACCCAAAGAGTGATTAACACTTGGAATTCACTGCCACAGGAAGTGGTGGCGGCTACAAGCATGGACGGCTTCAAAAGGGAATTAGATAAGCATATGGAGCAGGGGCAAGTGATGCCTTGTATTCTTGGTGCTTGGGGGGGGCAACAGTGGGAGGGCTTCTAGTGTCCTGGCCCCACTGCTGGACCTCCTGATGGCACTGGTATTTCTGGCCACTGTGGGATACAGAGTGTTGGACTGGATGGGCCTTTGGCCTGATCCAACATTGGCATCTCTTATGTTCTTATGTTCTTATGCCTGGATAG